CTGGCCCGCCCCCTCCCCAAAAAAGCCCGAGCCGGGGGCGGCGTCTCCAGGGAGTCCTCTTCCTGCCCCGCCCCTCCGCCCCCCGGCTCCTTAAAGGCGCAGGCCTCCGACCTGGCGCCCGCTGCGCCAGCCGCTGGCCGCTGTGGGAGATCCCTTTAACCGAGGGGAGAACTTTCACTTTGCTGTGTGGAACCTGTTGACCCCACCGGGGTCAGTCTCGAAGAGCTCCTTCCTTTATTTCAAATACGCATCGGCTTAGCCCAGCTGGAACAAAGCCCGGGACTTGGCGAGGGTTCCGTGGGGCCTCCACACTAGATAAGTAGGTATAATAACTAAGAATCCACCGACCCACCCAGCAGTGCCTCCAGATCCTGCCAGGAAGCCAGTAATTTATCCTGTAATCTGTGTCTAACTTTCTGCATCAGTCACCTGTTGGTGTATGAGGGAGGGTGAGGCTGTGTGAGAGGAATCCCTGGTGTTGTAGGAGAGGCCTAGATTAAGTGTCTTACACACCTGGGTTCCAGTCCTAGTGGGACCACCCACCTGTGGGGTAAACAGTACCTGTGCTTCTCTGGGGATAATTGAAGGAGGGGTGTGGAAACAGACCTCTACAGGGAGAAATGGATAGCAGGAAACCCAGAACATGACTCAGGCAAAAACAGAGCAAACCCACCAAGATAGGCATAGCTACCAATCCCAGGAGAGGTCAAAAGTGCCAGAGGCTTCTGCCCCTGGGAAGCCCCTAAGGGTTTCTTTTTTTTTGAGTTGGAGTCTCACTCTGTCACCCAGACTGGAGTGCAGTGGCCGCTCCCGGCCACCGCAGCCTCGACCTGCTGGGCTCCGGCGATCCTTCACCTCAGCCTTCCGAGTAGCTGGAATTACAGGCACGCGCTACCACGCCCGGCTAATTTTTGATTTATTGTAGAGATGAGGTCTTGCCAAGTTGCCCAGGTGGGTCTCGAACCCGCGGTCTCAGGCAATCCACTCACCTTAGCCTCCCAAAGCGTGGGATTACAGGCTGAGCCACCGAGCCTGGCTTCCTAAAGGTTTCTAACCCTCCTCCAATCACACCTCCAGGACACAGAAGCTCTTGACCATTTCCAGGCTCTTAAGTATTTCCACTCCAGGAGTCCCCCAGACTGCCCTCACCAATCAGCTCTCTTTCACCTCTGTGGGTCCCAGACCCCAACCCTGCCCCTTCAATCCACATCATGATAGGCAGTGTGAATTTTTTCATCCCACTGGGAATCCAGAACCTTTCCTGGACTGCCATTCCTAGTGTTTCCGTTACAAAGCTGAGCACATGGCCAGGCAGACAAGAGTTGGGGGGGAAAAGGGGTGCTTGGAGACCAATATAAATAAGTTCTGAACTTGGCTCTCATTTGGGGCTATAGAATCCCCAGGACTATTAATGTCCAGTCTCTGGGCTCACATGCTTTCTAGGCAACAGCTACTTTGCATTTCAGAACCTGAGGGAAGGCTTATCATCTTCATTTTATTGAGAAGGAATCTAAGATTTAGAGTGCTGAAGCAACTGTTTCACTTTCACACAGGAAGTAGTAGACCTGGGATTCGAACACAGGTCTAGTTGCTCTGACTGAAGTAATCCAGAAACTATGGAATCTGTCTCCCCACCCACTCACAAACTCACAACCAAAATTATTCATCAGAGGCGGATGTGTCAGTCTATTTATTTGAACTGACTCTTGGAGGAGCCCCAAGCACCACCAAGGAGTAGGAAATAACTGAATGATAGAGAAGTGGGTAATGAACAGAGGCATGCTTAGGGTTTTGGCATTTGTTGGAGCTGAGCTAATCCCAACCTGATCGGCAAAGCTAGCAGCAGAGGGAGAGGAGGGCTGGGGAGGCCTAGACTCAGTCAAGGAGCCAGAGTTGCAGCATCAGGGCCAGGCTGAGCAGGAAACCCCCCATCCCATGAAGTGTGACCCCAGCACTCATGGCCGCAGCATAGAACTTCGCCACCTCCTCGTTGGGGTTCCTCTGGCCTGAGTCAAACCACATCTGGATGCAGCGGCCACTCCCTCGGCTATAGTTGCTGACCTTGTAGGAGTGACTCCAGAGTTCCTCACAAAGGGCAGCTGGGGTGGGGAAGTAGGACTCAAAGGTGCGACAAGTGGCCCCGGTCGGGCACTTGTTAACTCCTGCAGAAAGAGAGATAGTGGGCACAGACATTCAGCCTCTGGGCCCAAAGTTCATTTCTGGCTCCCCCCCCCCAGAAATCCTCACCCAATCCCAAATCCTCAAGTCCTCCTTTTTCAAAACCCCCTCCTTCATCTCCCCACCTCCAGACCCACACCTGAGCTCCAGTCCCAGCCCTCGTGCCAGTTGCTCTTGCAGGTGTAGGAGGTGCGACAGTCCTGCCACCAGCTCTGACAGTCATCTTTGCATAAGGGCACATTCAGGAAACGTTCTTTGCGCCAGCTTTGATCCACCTGAGTGGAAGGTGGGGAGGCAGGACTCCTCTCAGCCACGGATGTTGGCAGCTGTAGCCTTGAAGGGGACTGAGGTGGAGGGCAGCCTGCTGGGGTGGGATGGGAGAGACACCCTACCTGCTGGATCCAGGGCCCCAGGTTGGGTGAGCACTCGTAGAGACAGTTGTCCTGGATGAAGTGACGCTTGCAGGCAGGCTCCATCGTGCCGCAGTGTTCCCAGTTAAAGTTATACAGGCGGGAGGTGTCCTTGTGCAGCTCCTGGCTGGTGTCGACGGTGCAGCAAGCGCTTTTCCTCCAGGGACTGCACTGGGTAGGGAAGGCACAGCATTAAGTTCCTCCCACCCCCACGTCTGCCATCTCCAGTCTCTCCCCCATTTGGTTCTTGCTCCCCCGCCCCAGGCGGGTTCTCCTAGGAACACTCACTGTGATAGTCCCTCTGTCCTAGGCCTCCAGGACCCCCTATCTCAAGGAAGACACTAATTATAACAGTGTTGCCAGGCGTGGTGGTTCACGCCTGTAACCCATCACTTTGGGAGGCAGAGGCAGGAGGATTGTTGAGCCCAGGAGTTCAAGACCAGCTTGGGCAACCTCGCCTCTGCAATAAATAAAAAAATTAGCAGCCGGGCTCGGTGGCTCAGCCTGTAATCCCGTGCTTTTGGGAGGCTGAGGTGAGTGGATTGCCTGAGCCCACGGGTTCGAGACCCGCCTGGGAAACTTGGTGAGACCTCATCTCTACAATAAATAAAAAATTAGCCGGGTGTGGTAGCACGCGCCTGTAATTCTGGCTATTCGGAAGGCTGAGGCGGAAGGATCACTAGAGCCCAGCAGGTCAAGGCTGCAGTGGCTGGGAGCAGCCACTGCACTCCAGTCTGGGTGACAGAGTGAGACTTCAACTCAAAAAAAAAGAAAAAGGAAGAAAGAAAAAGGTGATGAAAACGTATTCATGATTTCCTAAACTTACCTCTATCTTACATATAGACACATCATATCTTTGCAAGATCTTAATATAGACTGGGTTTTCCAGGACTGCAAATACTATGACATAAAGCGCTGTGTGTTTTGCTCTACTGGAGTTATTCACTATTTTAGAAAATTATGCCATCAATAGAAACATTGCTTAGAGTATGTATATATCTTATAGAACACACCTGTATCAATCTTCATGTGTAGCTGCCCCATCACAATAATTTTGTGAATAAAAGTAAGCATGTGCTATTTCCTAATGCCTTCTAATGTAGTCAGACCAGATAATTGTCATATTGAAATATATGTTATTTTATTATCAGTTACTCTCCATGTGCTTCTCCTTACTGACTTCTCCTATTATAGTTAGAACACTATGTTGATTTTTTTTTATTAGTTATATGTACAAATAGATTCTTTTTAGCTTTGAATTTCATTCTAGGATATAAAGGAGAGTTTAAAACATATTTGTCATAAAAAGGAAGCATTGAGTCTAACAGGGTTGCAATTCAATGGCATATAATTTTGTACACTGCGTGAACGGCCACCCCTTGTACCCTGTGTAACAGTCAGGTGGGGCGTCCCCCTCTTCCGCCCTTGGCACTCTATGGAACTGGCATACAGTGAGAGTGAGAAGAGCCATTACCTCCATAGTGTCTCACCCTTCAGAGAAGAAGCCCATCCCACTCCCACCCTTTCCCCACTGCAAGGAAGAGTCATGCCCAACTCCCATGTGGTTCCATGCACTTCTGTGAGTCTCAGTTCCCCTTATTTGTGTAATGTGGAGGACATCATCTACCCACATCAAAGAACCACTGGAAATATGGACTTATGTACAGAAAACGTCATCTAATAAGCTCTCAGCAAATTATTATTCAACATCATCGCCAACATGGTACCCTTCTCTGGGAAAGACATCCCTAAAATCACCTCACTCTTCCTACACCCTTCTTCTACAGTGAAAACACTGGGAATGGAGGTTTGGACCCCTCAGCCCCTCCCCCACCACCCTGACTTCCTCCTGCCTATCAGAACCAGCTTCCTCCCCATCCAGGGCCACACTCCAGCCATACCTGGCCATGCAGCTCGTCCTCAGGACCTGGCTTCGTCTTGTGGTGCTTGGCATCCATACAAACATTGAGCAGGTCTGTCCTGTCCCGGGCACTGCACAAGGTGGCTACCCAGACCAGAAGCAGCAGCAGTGGCATCAATTTCCAGGCCATATGTTTCTGTTTCAGCAGAGAAAACTAGTGTAGGGAGACCAAGACCTGAGGAGAAAGAGCTCCATGCAGGGAGCCCCTTCACCTCCTGCCCCAGCCTCTCCATCCCTACAGTGAAAGATGAGGTCAGACCTTGTTTTAGTGCTGTGGTCCTGAGGTCCTCTAAGGCTAGGATAGAGATGGCTGGTGGAAGGGGAGGAGGCTTTACCCCCAGGCTTGGAGAGCTCAGAAGGAGTACTGGGGTTACTGGGTAGGACCTGGGGAGGTGTTCCCAAGTGGAGGAGATGCCTGACAACCTCACTTTCTCTCTAGACTTCATCTATGACAAGCAATTAAATAGTTCAGGTTCATACACTGTGCCCCTGAACAGGGCCAGGGACACACAGTCCTGTGTCTAGCAAGTGCTCTATGGTTCAAGTCAGGATTGCCTGGGTTCCCATGCCAGTTTAGAAGCCCTATTAGCCCCAGGAAGGCAGTGACCCAGATCTGTTGAGTTCTCAGATTGGCATGAGGATCAAGTGACATTATCCACAGGATATTGTTTGGTTAAATGGTACAGAAATGGAAACAAGAGTGCTTTTTAAACAGTTTTGCTTCCGCAGAACTTTTTCCTTCCCCATTCTCCCTCCTTCAGAATCTCCCATCCTGATTCTGGCCTCCTCAACTGTCTCTGGGCTAATGCACCAGACTCCACCTTTCCTGTCAAGAAAAAATGCGGAGACGCTTAGACCTGAGGAACAACATGAAAGCCCCCCATGTTGGAGCAGCCAAACAAGCACTTGAAGACACAGGAGGCAACTAGCAAAAGTGACAGCCCCCTTCTTCTCTGTTTATTACCGCCCCTCACCCCACCCCCACCCCCACCCATTACAGATCTGACACTAAAATACCTAAGAGTTCATCTTGGAAACTGCTTCCTCTTTCTTACCATCACCACATACAATCGATTGCCAAGTTCTGACCAGGGTCCTTCCAAAAACTCACTTTCAGCTGGGTGCAGTGGCTCATGTCAGTAATCCCAGCACTTTGGGAGACTGAGGTAAAAGAATCACTTGAGGCTAGGAATTTGAGACCACATTGGGCAACATAGCGAGACCTTCAAAATATTAGCCAGGCATGGTGGCACATGCCTGTAGTCCCAGTTACTAGGGAGGCGGAGGCAGAAGGATCACCTGTGCCCAGGAGGTTGAGGCTGCCATGAACTGTAATCGTGCCACTGCACTCCTGAGTGACAGAGTGAGACTCTGACTCAAAACAAATAAAAATAAAAGCTGGGCTCGGTGGCTCAGCCTGTAATCCCGCGCCTTTGGGAGGCTAAGGTGAGTGGATTGCCTGAGCCCGCGGGTTCAAGACCTGA